TTCATCGCGCGCGACGTCCTCACTTCGCTCTCGCCGCGAATCGCGCGAGCTCCCCTTGTAAGTTCTCGACCCGCGCCTCCAGCATCACGACGAGCCCGTCGTCCTCGTCCGACGGCGCCGCCCACTCTTCTTCTCCCCGCCCGGCCGTTGCACCACAACCGCCCGTGCCAAGCCGCCATCCCTGCAGCTCCACCCTCGAGGACCCCCGCCAGCGCGCGCCCCGTCCACCCGCCGCCCCCGCCGCGAACGCGTCCGCCTCCGAGCGGATACGGCGCCTCGGGCGAGCGGCTTGGAGAAGAGTGGGCGGCGCCGTCGGACGAGGACGACGGGCTCGTCGTGATGCTCAAGGCGCGGATCGAGAACTTACAAGGGCAGCTCGCGCGATTCGCGGCGAGAGCGAAGTGAGGACGTCGCGCGCGATGAAAAGGAAGGCTTCCGTATTCTTTAGCGCGTTAAACGCGGCCAGCTTTCTCGTCAATCACCTCAGCGAGTTCATGAACCGCTGCATCGACGCGACGATGCCGAACACCTTCTCCACCGCCCCCGCCTCGATCTCCTCGCCGTCCTCTCCCTTCGGTCGGAACTCCGCCATGACGACGTCGTCGAGCTCGTCCCCCGCGAGCCTCTGGTACGACTCCTTCACGAGCTTAAACCTCCCCGGTCTGGCCTCGTCCTCGAGGTACAGCCTCCACTGCCCGGGGAACCGCTTGAAAATAGACCCGTTGCACCACGGCAGCGGCTGCAGCGCGTACACGACCGTCATCCGTCCTAAAAAGTTCTCTCGCATCCGGCGAAAGTTCAACCCGAGGCCGGCGTCCCCGGACGCCAGACGCGGGTTGATCAACACCACCGCCGCGCCGTTCTCGTTCGCGATCTTCGACGCCTTCATCACAGACTCCAACGATGGCGGGTCCGGCGCGGCGAAGACCAACACCTCGTCGGCGTCGTCGTACAGCTTGCGGTCGTTCGCGGACGCGATGGCGAACGGCGCGTCGGGCCACCGCGCCGCGAGCATCGCCGCGGCGCCCGCGTCCGGGAAGACCGCCTTCACCCTCGCGTCCGGGCCCAACCGCTCGCACAGCGCGCGGGTGTACTCGCGCGTGATCTCCCACACCTTGAGCTGGTCGCCGGCCTCGGCCATGACGTTCCCGGATATCGGGTCCCACAGCTCCGGGATGCGCAGCTCGACGAGGTTCCCGAGCGAACCCTGCGCGATGGCCTCGTCGGTCGCGATCGCCGCGGTGTTCACCGCGTCGAAGAGGTTGTCCGGGAGCTCGTCGTCGTCGAATTTCAGCGTGCCGTCGTCGTTCATCACGCCCTTGATCTCGATCGTCGAGGGTTCAGCGGAGGTCGCGTCGTCGTCCGCGCCGACGGCGATCTTCTCAAACTTCGCGCGCGCGGCGACGGATCGACGCGCCGCGGGGCGCGGCGTCGCGAGGGCCGCGCGCGAGGACGCGGGCGCGGCGCGGCGCGGCGCCGTCGCCGCGGCCGTCGTCGTCGCGACCGACGACATCGCGAAAGATGACATCGTGCAGAGCTTAGCGCACGTGGTCTCCGTGACGTCGTCGCGCGCTCGCTTATCCACCGCGAGGGAGATCGGCTGGCCGGAAGACGACTGTCAGGTGCGTTCAACGCAAACGTTTTTCACCCATCGCTCGGTTTCAACACTTGATCGTGTCCCCTTTCAGCTGACCGATGAATATTTTTTAACGCGCCTGCAGCGCGATCAGATCGCGAGCGCGCGCAAAACGCGCGAGCTGTCGATGACGTCGTCGATCACAGAACGCCCTGCGCCGGCATGTCGCGGTGGTACACGCTCAACTCGCAGACTGGGATCTACTCCGGCCCTCTCATCGACGCCCTTCGCCTCGGCCTCGCGGGCGTCGGCCTCTCGACCGTCGCGTGGGCGTTCACGACCCCGAGCGCGCCTCCGCCCGTCGTCGCGTCGTCGTCGTCGTCGTCAGATCATCCGTCCGAACCGTCGTCGACCTCTGACGCGCGCGCGGTCTCGTCCTGGATGCGACGCGCGAGCGAGGAGGGCAAGGACGGGACGAGCGTCGCGACCGCGCTCGAGAACGTCGGGCCGTGGGCGAAGGACCAGCGCGCCGGCGACAACGCGGTCCCCGCGCGCGCGCCGACGCCGCGCCATAATCATTAGCGCGTCGTCGCGATGCGCGACGACGACGACGACGGCGACGACGGCGACGGCGACGACGACGGAGGACGCGCGCCGCCTCTGGTGTGCGCGGTGACGTCCCCGGGCGGCTTCGGATGCGGCGTCGCGTGCACGCTCCGCGGCGCGCCCTGCGTGCTCGTGCCGCACCACGTTCTCGGCGACGCGTCCGACCCGGACCTGGACCTGGCGTCGCGCGCGCGAGAGGCGCGCGCGACGACGCGATTCGCCGCCGCCGACGCCGCCGGAAACGGCGGCGGCGTCGTCGTCGCGCGCGAGGTTCGCCTTCGCCCGGAGATCTTCCTCGCGTCGTCGCCGCCGCCGCCGCGCGGACGCGCGCCGGAGGCGACGAGGCTCGATTACGTCCTCGTCGCGTGCGCCGCGCCGGCGGGCGCGCCGCCGCGTCTGCTGCGCGCGTTGGAGGAATCCGCCGACGTCGACGCGGACGCGTTGGTCGGCGCCGGCGTCGTCCTGACCGCCGCCCCGAAGCGCTGGCTGACTTCGGACGACGCGTCGGACGGCGAAGCGTCCGCCCCTGAAGTCGTCCGCGGCGTCGTGTCGAGCGTCGAGGCGGCGACGGCGCGGTACGACGCGCGCACCGCGCGCGGCGCGAGCGGCGCGGCGGTGACGGCGGATGGGCGCGGCGGCGGCGCGCTCGTCGCGATGCACCGCGCCGGGTCTCGAGACGTCGGCGAGGGCGACGGCGAGGGCGTCTTGATACGAGAGATTTTGCGCGACATCGCGGAGACGACGGCGGCGAACGGGATCGCGAGAGAAGCCGCGGGCGGGAACGCGGCGCCCGCGGCGAGAGCGCTTCTCGCGAGAGCGTTCATAGGCGAGAGGTGTCGCGCCGCCGCCGCCGCCGCGCGCGCGGTCGCGTCCGACCCGGCCGCGGTCGCGCGCGCCGCGAGCAGCTCGGGCGACGGCGACGACGACGACGCCGGCGCGCGCGCGCTGACGAGAGCGCTGCGCGACTGGCTGGCAAAGTTTCCGAGGTCGACGTCGTTCGCCGTCGCGGCGGCGCACGCGTTGGGGTCGATTCGAAGGCGGTTCGGCGCCGGATCCGACGGGGACGTCGACGTCGCGGCGTGTCTGCGCGGGGTGATGGAGAGACACCAGGGCGTGGACGCGGTGCAGTCGCACGCGAGATGGGCGCTGAAGATGGTGGAGAAGCGCGCGTGAGAGTGTCTCATAGACGATGAGCAGTAAGGTTAGACTACACTATCTGTCGCTCCGCTGTCGCGAAGTCACGAAAAAAAACAAAGATGTAGGAACGACGACGACGACGACGACGACGACCCGTCGCGCCACACGTCGCGCGCGCGCGGGCTTGGGTCGGACCGCCGTCGCGGTCGCGGACGCCCACCGATGGACGCGCACGGCGCGCGCGCCGGGGACTGGTACTCCTCGCTCCCGTTCGGGACGCGCGGCGTCTTCACGATCTGCGTCGCGTCGTACGTCCTGTGCGTCCTCGTCGGGTTCGACGACTTCGCGCGCGCGTGCGTCGCGCCGCGTCACGTCCTCGCGACCGGGGAGGTCTACCGCGCGCTCACCGCGCCGTTCTTCCACGGGAGCCTGCTGCACCTCGCGCTGAACATGACCGCGTTCGTGGGCACGGCGTCCGGCTTGGAGCGATCGTTGGGGACGACGCAGTTCGCGCTGATCGTGCTCCTCTTCGCGCTCGTCGCCGCGGCGTACCACGTCGCGCTCGCGACCGCGGCCGCGCTCGTCGGGTTCACCGGCGCGCCGATGGAGTGCGCGATCGGGTTGAGCGGGATCATCTTCGGCCTCATCGTCGTGGACACGCACCTGAGCGCGATCGAGCGACGCAGCGTCTTCGGCTTTTTCGACGTCCCGAGCGGCTGGTATCCGCTCGGTCTACTGCTGTTCATTCAGGTCATCGCCCCCGCGGTGTCGTTCCTCGGCCACGCCGCGGGGCTCCTCGCGGGACTGACGTACGTGCGCGGGTACCTCAACCCGGTGTTGCCGTCCCCCGCGGCGATCGAGAGCTTCGAGGCGTGGCCCGCGATGGCGGCCGCGACGCGAAGGCGAGGGTTCGTCCACGGCGGCGGCGCGCGGTCCCCGCGCGCGTCCCCAGGGTCGGGCGTGGCCGTGCTTCCGGTGTTTCTGACTGGAGGCGGCGGCGGCGGGGGCGGGGGCGGACC